TGTTTAAAGCTTATATAAGCTTTCCTTAAGCTTATATAATACTCAAAAAATCAAAATCAACTTATAAATCCAAGAATTAAACAGCTGAAATTAAGCTCACCTTTAACTGAGGCTTACGGGGAGAAGAAGAAGCTGAAGAAGAAGAAGACTCTGGATATATTTCCTCATTTCCCACGTTTTTATATCCCTTAAAAAGAGAGAATAAAAAAATCTTCTCTTAGAAAAGACCACAATACCCTTGTTACTTTCCAACTTTACTATTAAATCCAACATCAAATTTCTTCAGTTAAATCCATAAACTTTTAACTTATTTCGAAATCAAGCACATAGTTTTCAAAATTTACAATTTAGTCACTGACCCTGATTTAGGATATTACAATGGTAATTTCACTTACATTGATGCTGGAAAGCCAAAACATCCCACTTGTATTCCAATTGAGCTTTGTTCTTTGGTGTCCATATAATCCCATACAAAAGCTTTGAACACTATACAAATAGCTTCCCTGGTTGAAAAATATGGGCAGTAGCTACAGGAAATGATGAATGTGTTGTCAAATGTTCTACGATATGATGCTGGCAAGCCAAAGTATCCCATTTGTATTCACACTGAGTTTTGTTATTAAGTATATTTTTGACATCATACAAAAGCTCTGGAAATGATGCAAAGAGCTTCACTGCTTGAAAAATCTGGGCAGTAGCCACAAGAAAGAATGAATGTGTTGTCAAATGTTTTATGAACCAGTAACTATGGTGTTGAACCAATGTTGCAATCATATGGTGTTTCTATTTGTTGACCCAAGATGAAGGTTGTATTCCAAAAACTTCAAGAAATGTGAAGAATTCTTTCCACAGAAAGGGCGCAAAGATTTCCACAACAAGAAATTAGTGGAGCTAACAAAGATTGAATGATGGGTTGTTGCTTAAACGTATCAACATAATACGGTCTAAATGACTTTGTTCAATATCTGACTAGGTGTGAAGACATGAAAAGAATTAAGAAAAAATCCCTTAGATGTCTTTTAAGAGTCAAATCAGAACAAATGATGTTTTCCTTTCAAAAATAAGAGCTTTATTGGATTTCTATACAAGTTCAACAGGGGCAAGAACTTGTTGGGGGTAAGAAGAAATTGATACAACTCTAGACTTGCAAGATTGCACATTGATGCAAGCAAAATAAATGAAGATCGCTTTTGGCAGCTATTCCCCTCATAGTCAATCCTTGACTTCCTCGTGAAGAGAAGTCAACTTTGTTATTCCCTAACTCTCTAGAGGAGCCAATCCTTGACTTGCTCATGAAGAAAAGTCAACTTTGTTATCATCGACTCCCCAATCGAGTCAATCTTTGACTTTCTCGTGAAGATAAGTCAACCTTTATTATTTCTAACTTCCTAGTAGAGTCAATTTTTGACTTCCTCGTGAAGAGAAGTCAACATATATTATTTTTGATTCCCCAGAGGAGTCAATTCTTGATTTTCTCGTAAAGAGAAGTCAATCATTTTAATTTGATATTCACGAAACAATGAAGTAAATTAATTCAGATTTGGTATTCACGGAAGAGTAGTGGAAGAAAATCAATCTCAAGTCTGATCTTCACGGAAGAGTAGTGGAACAGATTCTTCTTATTTCAGATTTAACCTCCACGAAAGAGTAGTGAAGCAAAATCCATCTTAAGCCTTCACGGAGGAGTAGTGAAGCAAAGTCATCTTAGCCTTCACGGAAGAGTAGTGAAGCAAATTCATCTTAGCCTTCACGGAAGAGTGGTGAAGCAAAGTCATCTTAGCCTCCATGGAAGAGTAGTGAAGTAAAGCCATTTTAGCCTCCACTGAAGAGTAGTGAAGCAAAATCCATCTTAGCCTTCACGGAAGACTAGTGAAGCAAAGTCATCTTAGCCTTCACGGAAGAGTAGTGAAGAAAAGTCATCTTAGCCTTCACGAAAGAGTATTGAAGCAAAGTCGCAAAGTCATCTTAGCCTCCACGGAAGAGTAGTGAAGCAAAGCCATCTTAGCCTTCATGGAAGAGTAGTGAAGAAAAAAGTCATCTTAGCCTTCACGGAAGAGTAGTGAAGCAAAGTCATCTTAGCCTCCACGAAAGAGTAGTGAAACAAATCCATTTTATCATTCACGAAAGAGTAGTGAAGCAAATCCATCTTATCCTTCACGAAAGAGTAGTGGAGCAAAGCCATCTTAGCCTCCACGAAAGAGTAGTGAAGCAAAGCCATCTTAGCCTCCATGGAAGAGTAGTGAAGCAAAGTCATCTTAGCCTCCACGGAAGAGTAGTGAATCAAAGTCATCTTAGCCTCCACGGAAGAGTAGTGAAGCAAATTCATCTTAGCCTCAACGGAAGAGTAGTGAAGCAAAGCCATCATAGCCTTCACAAAAAGAGTAGTGAAGCAAGAACAGATCAAAGTTTGATCTCCACGGAATAGTAGTGGAACGAATTTCCCATCAACGTATGAAGTCTACTGGACGAAAATTTCTTGTCTTTTATCTTTGCTCTATTTTTGTTAACACAAAAATGAGCAAAGAGGGACAGCTGTCGACAATCATTTTTGTCTCTTATTTTTATTATATATTATTATTATATTAATATTATTATATTACAAATAATACAATCTGAAGGCCCAATTTATTTACAAATAAGCAGATCCAGGCCCAAACCCGTTTTATAAGTTCAAGCCCAGATGACCGAAACTCGATTAGGGTTTCTACATAGTTCCAGCCTCCAACATCCTCAACCATTGGATCTGGAGAGATCCAATGGTCCAGATCCAATATAGCAGAAACTCTAGGGTTCACCAACCCTAGAGTTATTCTGGTCGCCGCCTCCAGGTGCTCCAGAAGCCACAGGACCATCGTAGATCCGGTGACTCACCAAAATGAATGGTTGTCCGAGGCCTTCTGAGGACTATAAAAAGCCTTGACGAACTTGGAAAGAAAAAATACACAGAGAACAAGACGGAGAAAGAAGAGGGGAGGAAGCAACCAACAAAGAAAGCTTCGAACAACCAGCAGTAGCCATTTAAAAGCAAGGAAACAAAAGGGAGAAGAAACATACCTTTGTCAAAGCTCAAACATCGCCGGAAACCATTTTTACCGAAGGTTAAATCTTAGATCTAGGTCGATTGAAAGGCTTTTAGGGAAAAAAAGAGAGGGTGTTTCGGGTTTAGGGTGTTCGATCTAAGATTTGGTGTATTTTTATTTTTTTTTACCGTGAAGATTGATCGGAATAGTGACCGCCGGTAACCGGCTCTCCCTCCGGTGAGGGAGTTTAAAGAGAATGAAGAGCTTCTCTCTCTAAGGAGAAAGAAGCAAAATTGAGAAAATGAGAAGAATTGGCCATTTTGGGTTAAATTTGGAGTATTTATACCCTCCTCAAAACTATGTCGTTTTGGGGAGGGACTATCTGGGTAATTCAAAGATGGGTAAATCATGCCCGTGGTCCTTGCAACGTTGTAAGCTTTGTAATTTAGCCACTGAAATAAGTTTTTATGAATTTTAATTCTGTTTTCGTATTTTATTTATTTTTATTTTAGTCACTACTCGTATATTTATATATTTAAGGTAAATATCCATTTTAGTCCTTATAATTTTAATAAATTATATTTTAATATGAATAATAATTAGGATAAATTATATTTTTAATACCTAAATTTAATAATATTTTGAATTATGGCAATTAATTTATATATTTTTACAATTTAATCATTAAGGTTTAATATTTTAATTTTAAATAATATTTTAGGATTATTTACACTAATAAGACCTAGATTTCATGATATTTAGAATTAGGATTTTTAATTTTGATATTTTATTGATTTAATCATTAAATTTATTATGTGTGTTTGGGTTATTTTATTTTATACAATAAATTATAAAATATTTCCTTAACTTATTAGGAATTTATTTTAAATGATTTATTGGTGTAAAATAATACCCTTGATATTTATTGAAGGGATTATAAATTAAATTAAATTCAAATTTATAAATTTTTATTTCAATGACATTAATTAATGAACAAAGGTACTAATTTTGGGCGTTTTGGGGTGCTAATCCTTCCCCACACGTAATCGACTCCCGAACTCATTTTCTGGTAAGCACCTTTTTGTGTTATGTTAATAATATTTTTATAAATTTTATTAAAATAACATAACATTTTTTGTGACCAATCACACCTCGATAAATGATTGGTGGGGACTCCTCAAATTTGTGTTTTATATTATGCCAAAAGAAAAATACTTTCTTTTTCGAGACGAGATTTAGAAAATAACAACACTTGTTTTCGCCAGGCGAATACCGTCTCGACACCCATCCCTAGGTTCAAGCCTTATAAAGAGCAATGTAATATTAATTTTATCTAATAAAAAGACATCATTTTATTTATTTTTAACATCAAAACAATGTTGTTTTGATATGTTAAATTTGTCCATGTATAAATCCAGCTTCTCTTTTAAAAAAAAAGAAAAATACTCTAATTTTATCTATTTTTACATTTTTCTTCCTATTTGTTTTGTTTTAATCAAATTTTAATCTAAAAATAACTGATTTTTTTATTTAACATGAAAAACATAATACTTTCGTCTTAATATAAAATTAAATTAAATATATTTAACATATAATTTAATCATGATATAAACTAATTAACATCTAATTCAATAATAATCAAAAGTAATTTTAAAACTAATTAAATTGTGTAGTAAAAATGAAATAAGATAAAAAATAATGAAAGTAATTCATTGATAATTAATATTTTTTATTTAATAAATAAATAACAACATATATAGTTTTCATTGAATCTAAAAAATAAGAAAATTATTTTTCAAACTATATAGATATTAGATATATATTTAAAAATAGGAATTTTCAAACAAATAAATGACGAGCAAAGTATATTTTCTCATTTAACCTTCAATAATGATTCCAACAAAGAAAAACTTTTAATATATTGCGTCTTCCCGTCTTTTGCCTCTATTTCTCTCACTTCATCCTTCACAATATCAGTCTTGGTGCAACTTGATGACATAAATGAATAAATTTATCACCTGATTGACTTAAAACCCTTTATAAAGGGAAGAGCATAAGGATTCTCAGATCATAATAAATACCCAAAATCTGTAGCTAATGTTTCCATATTCTTTGTTGAGAGAATAGTTTTTAATAGTCTAAGGCAAAGATCTCAAGAGAGATTTTCATGGCGCTGGAAGCTGTGGTGTTTCAGCAAGTTCATGGCGTTGGTTCTCAACAACAAGAACAAAAGGTTAATTACTGTAACACTGAGGAAATGCTTGCTAAAAGTGGAGGCTTCGGTTTCGGTGCAACATGGGGCACTTCATTATTCTCTCCGACGGAACCACCACCAGTCGACGTTCGGTCTTGCCGGCGGAGGAGACGGCGAGATAAAATTGTCAAGAACAGACAGGAAATAGAGAAGCAGAGGATGACTCATATTGCTGTTGAAAGAAATAGGAGGAGACAGATGAATGATTATCTTGCTGAAATTAGGTCTATGATGCCCAAGTCTTATGCTCAAAGGGTACCTTTCTTTTTTCCTTTTCTTTTTAAATCTGCAAAAGTAAAAAGTGATTTGATAAAAAAAAAAATTAATGATTTTGGAAGTATCTTTTTTTCTTCATAGGGGGACCAAGCATCAATCATAGGAGGAGCAATTAATTTCGTAAAGGAGTTAGAGCATTTTCTCCAGTCTTTAGAAGCCCGGAAAAGGATGAAAAAAGCTCCAGATAATTCCAATCCTTTTTCATCACTCTTCTCAGATTTCTTTTCCTTTCCTCAGTACTCAACTGGCTCCAACGGTACCCACCTTAGCTATGCCGTGGCCCAGAAAGGGTCGTCGTTGTCATCGTCGTTGCCGACATCACCGTCACCCGCCGTTGGGGATGTTGAAGTGACAATGGTGGATAGCCACGCAAACGTGAAAATACGATCGAAAAAACACCCAAAACAGCTCTTCAGCATGGTTTCGGGGATTCACTCTCTAGGCCTTATCTTGCTTCACCTTAATGTCACATCTGTTGAAAATATGGCCCTTTATTCCTTCAGCGTCAAGGTAAGTTTTCTTTAATATAATCCTATATATTGTCAGTTTCTTCAACATTTCAACACCTTTTTTGTTATTATTATGATTTCAATTGCTTTTCCGGGAAACAGGTTGAAGAGAATTGTCAGCTAACAACAGTGAATGAAGTTGCAGCCGCTGTTTATGAAATGGTGGATAGGTTTCAAGAAGAGGCGACTGCTTAATTCATCTTCTCTGAGTTTCAGGTCTTAATTATTTGTACTTTTAAGTTAATTTTAAGATAATTGCTTGGTAGAATGTAGGTAGAGATGTTATAGGGCAGCCTCAATTCCTCAATTTTTAAACATTTTTAGTCAAGTCAACTCCTCAATTTCAAGCTGAGTTCAAGTCTTGGTCCAAAAAATGACATCATTATTAATTAAAAAAATAATTTGGATTTGTATTGTAACCCCTAGATCCAACATATACGTTATGACTAGATCTAGCGGATTACATTGAAATTTTCAAAACATCCTTTAATATTTTAAATTCATGGTATTACTCAAATCAGTAATATAAGCGTAAAATATGAAGAGTATCGCAAAATATCGAATAACATAAGTAAACCAAATATCTAGTATCACAAGCATTAGTAGTAAAATAAAATACATAAAACATGTAATTCAAAATAATGCAGGCACATGTCACCAAATGAAGGCAGTCTGGAAGATAGAAACATTACAACAAAAAGTATTGTAGGTGATGTGTCGATCCTCCAAGTGCTAAGATAGGGGTGCCTATCCAAAAGTATCTGAAAGGGAAAAAGGTTGGGGAGTGAACTAGGGAGCTCAGTGTGTTCCAATTGTGCAAATAAAACGTCATAGAAAAGTATTTAGAAAATAATTCAGTAACGTTTCATAAAGTAAAAGTGAGGTTTATATTGTAAAATTCATAATTACCCTCCTCCCGTACACCGTAATACAATCCTCAGACTGCATCCATAAGGACTTATCCTATACCCATTAGATATAGGTGCCAACCTAAGGGAGCATCTTGGGGGCCTGAGAGCCTACCCACGAAAGTTATTGGGGCCTCGGAGCCTACCTAAGGGTTACCTTAGGTCAGTAAGGAATTACCAGCTTGATTAGAGCTGAACCTTCATACTCTAGAATCCTACCCAAACAGTATCTCAATAAAACAATTTACATAGTAAGCAGTAAATTCCATGATCCATAAATCGACATAATCATATTTCCCAATGAAAATAAGTAACCAGATAACATATATCAAACAGTCATATTTCATAAACAATAAACCAGTAAATCATAATATCGAGCAGTTAAAAGATTCAGTAAATTAGTAACTTCGGTAAATCACATTTCAAAACAGATAAAACAATCGTATAGCACATAGGGAACACACCTCACAAAAAGGTATCAGTCGGCAAGTCTACAGAGCACTTCTCGCGCCACACTCTGCAGCAGTGCTCGAACCTAATTCATAATGCAACAAAGTTATTATCGAAATAATATTTAATTTAATATTCTTAGGGTTTATGGATCATACGAGTAATAACTAGCTCACGGGGTCAAACATATTGAGATGAGTTGGGTTGAGCTTTCGAACGGTCGAGAGAGTCTCGTATACCTTCAAATAACAATATCTTAGATCAACTATTAACCTTAATTTAATTATTCTTAAACTAAATATTACATACATATGCATGTTTGGTTTGTCGGTCAATTTGGATGCTTTTGGGTTTGAATTTGAAAAAACGAACTTCGAATTTGGACTCATGATGTCGAAAAACATAAAATGTGACTTTTAAAAAAAATTGACTTTTTGGTCAAAGTCAAAGCCAATACTGGTTAAAGTCAACTTAGGTCAAAGTCAACGGGTTGACTTAGTCGAGTTGACTCAGCTCAACCTGGTTCGGTCTGACTGGAATGGTTCCAGAAAGCTCCTGGACCAGTGAAGCCCCACGTGCACCGGTGGCGTTTTGTAGTGCGTACGACAACGACACGAGCTTGTTGAGGACGATTAATCAATCCACAAGATAAAACTTAACAATTTAATTCTAAAATAACCCAATATCAAAGCAATATCACAATGAAAATGAAGACAAAAGATGGTGGAACAACTAAGGATAACCGATGAACCCACTCTAGTTTTGCTCAGATTTGCGCAAGGGTTGCAACAGTGAGGGCGGTGATTAGAAACGCTAACTAGATCGGCCGAAAATCGATGAATTTCAATTATAGTCGCTAGGGTTCTCGTCGAATGGTCGCTAGGGCGGTCGACGCAGGGCGACAGTCTCGGTGATGGTAGCGATGAACTCTAAAGGTGGTCGGATGACAATGAATTGTGGAGGGGCCAACGGTTAAGCTTATAGATTTAAGGGGTTAAATTTAGGGATTTAGGGTTTGAAATCTTAAATGAAGGATGAGTTTTGGGATATTAAAATGAGCTCGATAAGTTTAAAATATATTTTAATTAAAAATATCTTAAATAAGAGCCTAGCCTAGATGGCAGGAGTATAACTGGCCATGCATTAGGTTAGGGGTTCAAAACCTTTCAGCCACACATTTTCATTTCTTTTATTTTTCTCTATTGCCAATAAATGGGAAAAATTCAAGACTAGGTCCTTAAACTTATTCAAAATTAACCCAAAAATTTTTAAAAATATTCAATCTAATCCCTTAAATCAATTAATTAAATTAAGTTTATTGTAAATTAAATATTAGGGGTGTGACAAATATCCCCTAAAGAAAATTTCATCCTCGAAATTTACATGAATCCAACAGATGTGGAGATTCATCTGTCTCCCAAATAGTTTCTGTTGGACCACGGTTACTCCACTGAACATTTACCATCGGTATACGCTTATTTCTATGAACTCTATCATCTCAATCCAAAATCTGAACATGCTCCTCATCATGTGATAAATCTGACCTCAGCTCAACATCCTCTATATGAATAATATGACTATGGTGTGGACGATAAAGCCTCAACATAAACACGTGAAAGACATCATGAATACGGCTGAACTGGGGAGGCAAGTCGAGCCGATATACAACAGGTCCACCTCTATTCAGAATACGATATCACCCAATAAATCTCAGACTCAATTTTCTTTTACACCCAAATCTCAACACTTTTTTCCATAGAGATCTTTAAAAAGACTTGATCCACAAGCTCAAACTCAATGTCTTTACTTCTCTTGTTAGCATAAGACTTCTTCATATTAAATGCCTCTTTCAAACAGTCACATATCAACCTGACATTGTCCTCAGTCTCTCAGACTAACTTAGGTCCCAAAGTCTTTCTATCAGGCAACTCAGTCCAATAGATCGGGATGCGATATCTACGCCCATATAGTGCCTTATACAGTGCCATATGAATACTAGTCTAGTAGATGTTATTGTAAGCAAACTCAGACAAGGGCAAAAAATCTTCCCAACTACCACGAAAATCAATCACACGTCCCCGTAACATGTCCTCTAGAACCTGAATCACCCTCTCATATTGACCATCAGTTTGCGGGTGGAAAGTTGTACTGAAATTTAGTCTAGTGCCCAAAGCCTCATACAATGCTTTCTAGAATCTGGAAGTAAATCTCGGATCTCGATCAGAAATGATAGATAGTGGAACACCATACAATATGACGATCTCTAAGATATACAATATAGCAAGCTTGTCCAAAGAATAATTAACCTGCACAGGAATAAAGTGAGTCAACTTTGTGAGTCTATCAACTATCACCCAGACAGAATTCTTTTTCGAATGAGTCAAAGGCAAGCCAGTAACAAAACCCATCGTAATACACTCTTACTTCCATTAGGGGATCTTGATAGGCTGTAACGAACCCGGCGGATGCTAATGTTCTGCCTTAACTTACTGACAAGTTAGACATCTAGCCACATAATTAGAGATATATTTCTTCATGACAACCCAACTTCTCTCTCAAATTTCGATACATCTTATCTTCACCGAGGAGCATAGCATAAGGGCTACTATGAGCCTCACTGAAGATAGTATGTCTCAACTCTGAATCATCAGGCACACAATACAGACCCTTAAAGTATAAAACTCCATCCTAGTCAAAAGCATAAATTGAGGTAGTACCCTATTCAACTTGCTCAATAATAGGGAGCAATGAGCTATCAAGAATCTGCTTGGCCTTGATCTTCTCAGACAAAGTCGACTTAATCTACAACTCAGCTAACAAAATGCCATCAGTATATAACTTCATCCTGGCAAATAAAGACCTCAGATCAACTATTGTCTTCCAGTTTAGAGTGTCCGCAACGACATTAGCTTTACCCAGATGATAGTCAATCTTGCAATCATAGACCTTTAGAAGCTCAAGCCAACAACACTGTCTCAGATTAAGTTTCTTTGGTTCAGAAGATACTTCAAACTCTTGTGATCGTTAAAAATATAATTCTTCTCTCCATAGAGATAGTGTCTTCAGATCTTCAAAGCAAATATCATTGCTGCTAACTCTAGATCATGGGTCGGGTAATTTACGCTCATACGACCTCAACTGACGAAACGCATAAGTACCCTCCTATCCTGCATAAGAACACAACCAAATCCAGAGTTTCAAGCATCACTATACACTGTAAAATCCTTCTTGGCCTCAGGTTGAGTCAAAATTGGAGCTTGAGTAAAAGTTGTCTTTAATTTCTCAAAACTCTCATGATGTGCATCACCCTAGTCAAACAGAATATTCTTCCTCAATAGTTTCATTTAAAGGGCAACAATGGTCGAGAATGCCTCAATAAAACGTTGATAATACCCAACTAAGCCCAAGGAAATACGGATTTCAGAGATATTCTTGGATCACTTCCAACTCAAAATGGCCTCAACCTTACTTGGATCGGCCTAAAAACCTCTCACATAATTAATATACCCAAGAAATAACACCTCTCGAAGCCATAATTTACACTTGCTCAGTTTGGCATACAGAGGATGTTGTCTCGGTGTCTACAGAATAATATTCAAATGCTAATCATGTTCTGCCTCAATCTGAGAATAAACCATAATATCATCAATGAAAACCACTACAAATTGATCTAAATAGGACCGGAATAAACGATTCATTAGATCCATAAAAGTTGTCAGAGCATTGGTCAAACCAAAAGGCATCACTAGGAACTCATAATGCCCATATCTAGTACAGATGGCAGTCTTTGCAACATCTGAACCCTTTTACCATTAATTGATAGTACCCCGAATAAATATCAATCTTAAAAAATACAGTAGCTCCCGTAATTGATCAAATAAGTCATCAATCTTGGGTTGTGGGTATTTATTCTTGACCGTTAACTTATTCAACT